ACACAGAAGGAATAACTCATCAGTGAATTTTCAGGAATGCTACATGGAAAAGGTATGCATTGATCAAGGAGAAGAACCACATAACCATTAAATTTCGCTCCAACTTTTTTCACTATTCTCAAATAAATCCAATTTGGGAGTCCTGCAATTAATCTCATTTTCAAATCAGTCTTTAGCTGACATTATCTACTTTTTCTTTTACTCTTTACTCTTTCCATACAATGCGCAGCTGGAAATTCAAAATGCTTATTTGTTTCCCTCCAGTTAGGAAATCTAAGACATAAATATTTTCAAATTGAGACATGGAAATAGCTCATCCTAAACAGACTATTTTCATCAACATAAGTGACTGGTATTCTCTCTTGTGAATTAAATAGTAGTAGCAAAAAGTTCTAGATAGGCATAAAGAACTATTACTATCTATTAACTCTTTCACAGCTAGGTCTTCAAAGAGTAAGTACATCACTTTCTTTGAAGTTCTATAAACACCCACCTGTATAGACAAAACCCCACTATTCTGTGATTATCCACTACTTTGGTTTATGTGGACAACAGGATCATTTAAATTTGACTATGCTCTGGCATTACCTTTCTCATCATAGTAAATGGAGATGTCGCCTGTGGATGTATATACAATTTCATCCACGTCAGCAGCAAGGGCGTTTTTATGGTTGTCAGGGAGTGAAGTAACCTTTTCTTTCAATACATGTAGCACCTAAGTTTGGAAAAAGCAAACCACTAGTTCACCCAATTCAGTTTTTAGAAATTTATAAGAAGTGATATTTATCATGTAATACATTTTTCTATACCTATTTTTAAATTAACTACCATATTTACCCATCCTCAGAAGCAAGACTGACAGGTATCTCTTCAAAAGTAAGACTGAAATGCTGAAATATTCACCTACAAAATACCTTTATTCTATATAATAGCAACTGAAAGACATCATATTTACTTACTTAGGCCTTACATAGTATGAATCATTCTCCATGCTTTTATATGGCCCAAAGTACCCATTAGGACAGATACAAAGATTCTACTTTGGCTGCTGGCACACACACTATTTTTAAGTATAAATAAGGAGAATATTTATTTAATCACTCTATTGCAAGGGAATAATACATTTATTTTTAAAGGAAACTTAAAAGTATGCTTTACCTCTTTGGCCACAAGTTCTTCCAATAAATCAAATTTACACTGTGACAGCAACTTGGATACATGAGCAAAAGCCTTTAAAAAAAGTGGAAACATTGTGGCAATTATTATTTCAAAATACTGTGCAAAATGCCATACAATGCTCATAGTGAAATGGCTAAGTGTAATGGACTATTTCATGGTAAAGGTGATAAACAATATCAAACACTAATATATCAACACTAGCAATGACTCTTTCAAAGTTGGTTGACTTTTCTTACATTGCCTTCTCATGGACATAGCAGTAATTGAGTTGACTGCTAATTATGCATTCACCCTTAGGACCTGGGAAATGATAGTAGGTGGCGTCCATAGTAGATGCCTCAATAAAAATCCTCTTTTCCTTTTAAAATAAGGAAGTAAACAACCATCCCACTGTTATGACCCACCTTTAATCAGCATAGATACCAGATGGAAAACAGAACAGTCTAATTGTACTGGGAGTATGGAGATCAGGATTTCAAACTGAACCTCATTAAGAGAGGGAAGGCAAGTTTGGGGAAAGTAGGAGAAAAGATTACGGCTTATGGGTGGGGAACTTACGGGTGGGGAACTTACGGCCTTGGGGATCCTTAAGTGTAGCTTTCTGACTGAATCCAAACTTTACAAAACAAATTCCTTGAATTAACACATTAACTGCCAACTGAGTTGTATTTAACCTAGTTTTTGGCCTACAGCCTTGTAAACCATACATAATTTAGAGGTCTCTGGACCTAATAAAATACTGCGGCCCCAAGGAAAAATCTGGGTTTTTTTCCTAGTATGGCAATGTGTATAGTAAAGGGATTTGTTCTGTAAAGTTTGGATTCAGTTGAGGGGCCACACTTGGGGATCTGGAAGAACACAGATTCCTTAGATCCCAACTTTGAAACAAGAAGTCCTATTCCAAAGGGCAGGAAACACCAAATGTCTACATTCCTAGTAATGAGAAATCAAACTGTAAATTAAGATCCTGTCTTCAAGAAGTTTTCAGACTACTTGGAGATAGACAAATTAACAAATTCAAGAATTATGACTAGGGAAAAAACAAAGTGACTTTAGCTGGGACTACAAATGTGTATCTAATTTATTTTTTGTAGAAACAAGGTCTCACTATGCTGCCCAGGCTGGTCTTAAACTCCTATCCTCACACGATCTTCCTATTTTGGCCTCCCAAGGTACTAGTATTATAGGTGTGAGGCACCATGCCCAGCCCTGGGAGCACAGAGAAAAGCCACCTAATTTAATCTGGGAGGAGAAGAGGCTTCCTTAAAGTAACATCTAAGCTGAAATCTGAAGAACTGGGAGAAAGGGAATGCACAGGCTCATCAGACAGAGAATATCGCACAATTGTTATGGGCTGAATCATGCCCTCATTTCTCCAAAAACATTATGGCAAGGCTCTAACATCCAGTACCTTGAAGATAGGACCTTTAAAGAGATGATTAAGTTAAAATGAGGTCATTAGGGTGGGCCCTAATCTAGTATGACTGGTTTTCTCATAAGAGAAGGAAATGTGAAGACAACCCTGAGGTGCCAGAGGCATCCTTACTGCAGGAATGCAGTAAGAAGATGGCCATCTGGAAGCCAAGGCTATAGGCCTCAGGAGAACCCAAACTTTCTGCACCCTGATACTGAAATTTTGGTCGTTCCCAGTCTGTCCTTATGTTGTTATAGCAACCCTAGGAAACTAATATAGTAATAAACTTGAATTTTGAGAAAATGTACACAACCAAATGGATTCAAGGACTCTTTGCAAACATTTTAAAGGCATTCAGGGCTCAGAGAGACTATATGGTTTGGTAGGCCTTCATGTGCAGATGGGTTATAATTTGAACAAAACTATAGCCATCATGTTGAGATTCAACCATTAGACTAGTTTGTGTGGACACAGATCACATCTAAGCAAATTATCCTAGAAGGTATTAACGAACCATCAGGAGGCTACCCTGGCAAGGCCTTGAATAAGATGTGTTCAACCTCCAGAGGTTTCTAGAAGATAGCCTTTTTTCCCCATAGGATAGGCTAAATGTACAAGATATGATAAATCATATATTGTTTGATGGCAGTAATAAAGAAAATACGTCAGGATCTGAAGAGCTAATATAAGGCTTATCTATGGCATTAAGTCACCTATTCCTCTGGCTCATGTGAATAAAAGACTTGCCTCCTTGCATTTAACCATCTTCAATCTCCCAGCGACTCTGGAGGACCAAGACCAGTGCAGTTTGGCACTTACTAGCTATGCATCCTTGATCTAACCATTTCACCTTTCTGGTGCTTGGTTTCATCACCTGTAAAGAAGGTGTGTTTATGTTTTCATGTTCTAGGATTAAAAAATAAAAATCCTAATGGATATGACCTAATTGATATTCACAACCTAAGATAACATTTTATTGCTGGGACAGGAGCCTATAGAGAAAGGAGAAGTGAAGCCACAGAGTTAGATAAACTAGCTGATGTTTTTGCATCAAATTATTCCTAACCCTAGGTTTACGCTCACAAGGGAAGGTACAGTTACATCAGGACAATTAGAAGGGAGGTTTTGGGGGGAGAAGATTTGGCTCACAAATCTTAGGTATCAAAGAATTTGCTTGATCTGAATTGTATGTTCAGTAACCGCTGGTTTAAGGGAATCATTAAATATTTGCCACAAATGACTCCAGGATTTTTCTTCTTTTTGCAGTTTTTGGCCGGGGCCGGGTTTGAACCCACCACCTCCGGTATGTGGGGCCAGTGCCCTACTCCTTTGAGCCACAGGCACCTCCCTCCAGGGATTCTTTTTGGAAGTCAGAGTGGTTAATTGCACAAAAATTACTGTAGGCAAAGCAAAAGTAAATACAGATTGGCCGATTAAGGGGGGAATACTGCTTAAGACAAAGTAGAGAGAAGGCTAAAATAGCTAACAACTGGAGGCCTATTAGGATTTGAGAGTGAACCAAAAAGCGCTTTCTGTTCCTATGTTGAGAGTAAACAGAGATAGAAGTCTGATTCCTATCCATGTTGGGGAGATGATCACCTTTGCTGTCCATAAACAAGCTGATACAGTCACATATGTGTTAATAAGGTGGACAAGCTCCTGCCATCAGCAGGTATTGTAGAGAATAGTAGGATCACACCAATTTACCTCTGCATGGACAAAAGATTTTGACAACTGACGTGAGCAGAGGCTTATCCCTTATTTATGATGCTTAGTTAAGTTGCTCTTTGATTTTTAATTTTCATTTCTTTTTTTTGAAACAGAGTCTCATTTTGTCACTCTTGGCAGAGTGACATGGCATCATAGCTCACAGCAACCTCAAACTCCTGGGCTTAAGCGATTCTCTTGCCTCAGTCTCCCAAGTAGCTGGGACTACAGGTGCCCGCCACAATGCCAGGCTATTTTTAGAGATGAAGTCTAGAACGAGTGAGCTCCACTCATCTTGGCCTCCCAAGTGCTGGAATTACAGGTGTGAGCCATCAGGCCGGCCCTTGATTTTTAATTTTCTTATAAATACATGTATAGTCAAGACTTGTCTCAGGGATGCAGGAAATAGGAGTTAATAATAATAACAATTACATAAAATTGAAAAAATTTAACTTACAACTTTTTTATTTTTATTTTTTTATTTTCTGACATAGAGTCTCACTCTGTCGCCCTGGGTAGAGTACCATGGCATCATCATAGCTCACAACAACCTCAATCTCTTGAGCTCAGGCAATCCTCTTGCCTCAACTCCCCAACAGCTGGGACTACAGGCACCCACCACGATGCCCAGCTAGTTTTCCTATTTTGAGTAGAGACGGGATCTCGTTCTTGCTCAGGCTGGTGTCAAACTCCCAAGCTCAAGCACTCCACCTGCCTCCACCTCCCACAGTGCTAGGATTATGGACATGAGCCACTGCCCCCAGCCCATTTACCTTACAATTCACATATTTACAAATAATTATCAGAACAATCTTAAATAAAGAGTAAAAATATCAATACTAGTTCAGTAGTATTGTTGGAGTAGCAATACAGTAGTAAAATTTTACAGTATTGGTAAGTAAATACTGAAAAATGATACACTGATGGTGCGATTTTAAGGTATATGTAGGTGAACTGGAAAATAAACTAAGACTATTGTTCATCAATAGTTCTGCAATGTTTGGAAACACACTAAGAAAGTCAAAAGAAAGATATAGTTGGCCCTTTACCATAGTAAAAAAGCATGCACACACAAAATCTGAAAATAATCTTAGGATCCAAAGTGACCCATTGTGTGGCAAGGATAAGGCAAAGTGTCATCAGCCATTCAGACACAAAAACGTGACTGATAGAGTCAGAGCTGTAACTCACCAAAGGCTAAGTGTTCTTAGTGTGCAGGTGTTGTGCACGCCACCAGACAGCCAAAGCAAATTCTTTGAAAAGGTAAAAATCTCCAGGTTATTCCTTAAGGAGTATTGGAGTTGAAAGGAAGAATGTAAAATAGCTGGCAGGAGATGATACCATGGCACTTTGGAAATGTCATCCTATTTATTCTTCAATCTTATCCGCTCGTTAATTTATTCACCAAACATTTATGGAATGCCTACTTTGTTCCAGGAACTGTCCTCCCCATTTTGCATATTTGGAAAATCACGCTCATCAAAGATAAGGCCATATAGCTTTCAGTGGCCGAAATAAGCTTTGAATCCATTTCTCTCTAATTCAAAACCTGCAGAGAGTGAAAAAAGTAATCGGGGGACTTCATCCTTGTCTCTAAATAAAACCCTTCTTTCTCAGTGACCGTGCAGCACACAGCCAGAAGCTTACTTTAAGTCACTACTACCCATGTTTGATCATGTGGGTGAAGAAATTTCACCGCTAAACAATTCTGCGTGTAATAGTTGAACGTCTTCTCAGGTCAACCAAGGAAATAAACAAACCTGCTTTGCTCCTTCAGAGAACTCTGCCATGCTGAACTCTTTGTCGAAATAAGCCCAAATAAGGAAGGCGTAAATTCGAGTCCGAACCCAGTTGATGGGGTTGGAGAACCCCAGAATGATCATCTTGGTTTTCTGGCGCTGCTGGGGCTGCTCCTCCGTGCTGTAGCTGCGCTGGGGGCCCACAGGGAAAGAAGCAAGGGCTGCGGGAAGTCCCGCAGGGTTGAACACCGGCCGCTGGAGGCAGCGGGCGGACTGCGCAGAGGCCGCCGTGGCCCAAGGGCTTCGGGGAAAGGGGGCCGCTCCTGAGCTGAGGCGGCGGCGGCAAAAGTAGCAAAGCCTGGTCAGTGGCAGCCTCACCTCGCTGGGAGTACAGGACCAAGCGGCCCCTCCGTGCAGCAACCGAGAGAGAAGCAACTTAGGTAGCAGACGAGAGGCGAGCGCCATTTTCATAACCTTTTACCCCTCTGTGCTCTATCGAAAGGAAGCCGATGGGAAACTACCTCAGAGGTGTGGAGGAAGTCTGGAGAGTAAAGCTGGCCTGCTGCTGCCACCTCTGGTGAGTCCGCCCCCTCCTGGCTCTTCACGCAGCCCCTGCAGAGGCCATTTGGCTCTCCGCCGCGCGCGGGGAACCAGCCACTCTCGAGTCCTCCTGTCTCACGGACCTTTTCTCGCACGGTCGTGTTTCCGGGAGGATCGCACGCTGACGAACGTGCTGGGCCCGGAGCTCGGGGGCCCGGAAAGAGGGCGGGCTTGGGCAAGCATGGCGGGGCAGCGCCTCCTCGTACCCCGGCTGGAGGGCGTTTCGCGGGAGCAGTTCATGCAACACCTCTACCCACAGGTGAGGCCCTAGCGGGAGGTCAAACTGGAGGAAGCTGCGGGAGACCCCTCCCTACCGAAGTGGTTTCTTAAGTCCCAAGGTGTGGGGAAGAGACAGGAAGAGAGGGCGCATGGGGGATGTCGACTGGATCATCTACTAAAAATTCCGAGAAAACAGACGCACGTTTCTGGGGAGGAAGATGACCGTGGAGAGCTGAGTGCGAGAGGCATTTTGCCTAAGCGCTTTACTCGCTGGGAAGTGTAGCCTTCCAGAGACCACTCTGTTAAAGACATGGCAACTGAGGCGTGTCCCCACCACCCCACCCATTAGCCCTGCCTCCGGGTTTTCTGCCTGGTTTCCAAAAGTTTAGTGCAGGATTCGCGGACTCCCCTAGTATTGCGGACCGCACCTGTCAGTCTACTCTGACTTAATGCATTTGGATGCGCTACTTTTAACTCCCCTGAGCCAATAGGGAAAGCAATGGGATTTCCCTGGACATTTCCTCTGGTCTTGGATTTTAACTCACCTGGTTCTAGTTCGGATGTTGGAGTCAAATTTTAAGTATGCAATTTGAAGAAATTAAAAGAAAACTCACAATGTTTTTTTTTTTAGAGACAGAGTCTCACTTTATCACCCTCCGTAGAGTGCTGTGGCGTCACAGCTCACAACAACCTCCAACTTTTGGGCTTAAGCGATTCTCTTGCTTCAGCCTCCCAAGTAGCTGGGGCTACAGGCGCCCGCCACAACGCCCAGCTATTTTTTGGTTATAGTAGTCGTTGTTTGGCAGGCCCAGGCTGGATTCGAACCCCCTAGCTCCGGTGTATGTGGCCGGTGCCCTAGCCAGAAAATTTGTAATATTAATAGAACAAATAGAAATATTAATAGAACAAAAAGTGTTTTTACTTTAAGCGCTTTGCAGGGACGTCCAGAGTTAATAAAAATAGATAAGGAGCCCAGTAGGTATTTAAAGAAAAAAAAGACTACGTGGTTACAGTGAGTCTGTTTATGGTAGGAAAAACACATAAACAGACACACCAGCTTTCTTACTTGATACATCCTTAGGGTGGTTGGTCATAGGACTACAGTTCTGAGTATTACAGAATTCAGGGATGATGTCTTGTCTTTTGGTAGTTAGCTACCTACAAGAGAGGATTCAAGCCTTCATGTATTTTGGGGACTATTACTAAGTGAATTGTTCTTGCTCTCCCTACCCATAAACACATCTCAGGATGTGTGAGTTGTAAGATGCCTATAGGGGAGTGTTGTGAAATTGGTGTATGTGGAAATGGTTTATACAGTGGTTCTCAACCTTCCTAATGCCCCGACTCTTTAATACAGTTCCTCATGTTGTGATGACCCCCAACCATAAAATTATTTTCATTGATACTTTATAACTGTAATTTTGCTACTGTTATGAATCGTAATGTAAATATTTGATATGCAGGATGTATTTAGGTGATACCTGTGAAAGGGTCGTTCGACCCCCAAAGGGGTCATGATACACAGGTTGAGAACCCTTGGTTTATAAGATACATAACAAAAGATATTTTGTAATCTAATCCTTCCAAACAAGACATAAGTTACAAAGAAAGGATCACTCAGTTTTATAAAGTAGAAGATTACTTTACTGCTGTAAATTACTTCTTTCTTTGTAAAGACAAGTAAAACTAGGAATAAAACTAAAAATTAATAACAAAATTGGAAAAAAAAACCCTATCTGGAAAGGTATAAGGGGGTATAGTCCTTACAGATATTTTAACATGTGTTAATAACTTCATAGTTAATGCTGTAGACCAGAAGAATAGAATTGAAAGTCCAGAAATCAATTCTCTGTGTGTATATATGTGATATATTACATATATATGTATATGTATTATATATAATGTATATATATTATATACACATATGAACACCTATAGTATATACAATTTATATACCTGTATATATAAATTTACTCACGGAAATTTAGGTAATGAACATGACATTTCAGAAATCATTGGGCAAAAGTGACTTTTTGGCATACGTTTTACACAAAAATAGACTGTATTTTTAGAGCAGTTTTAGTTCACAGCAAATTGAGCACAAGATACAGATATATCTCATATACTTCCTGCCCATTCATATGCATAGCCTCCTCCAATATCAGCATGCTCCACCAGAGTGGTACATTTGTTATAATTGATGAACCCACATTTAAACATCATTTTTGCCCAAAGCAAGAGTTTACATTAGGGTACACTTTTGGTATTGTATGTTTTAGGGGTTTAGGCACATTTATAATGAAATTTTTCTACCAATATGTTATCAGAGTCATTTCACTGCCCTAATGGTACTGGGACAACAAGCTAGTTATTTAGAAAATGGTAAAATTGATTTATGTCTCATACCACACAGAAGAATAAATTCTAAGTTAATCAGAAAAATATAAAGAAATGAAACTATATAGGTACTAGAAGAAAATATAGGTAGATTTCTCAATATGTATAATCTAGGTCAGTGTTTTTTGACCTTTTTTATTGTAGCACACTTGAACCTATGTTGAAACTTTCATTGCACATTTAAATCATGTTGATCAAAACAAAAAGTAAAGAAAAGATATACTGTGCTTTGAACTTCTTTTGAAAATAATTTTTTAATAATCTCCTCATTGGCATTATAGTGAAACATTATTTGAGAACCTGCTGTAGACTTTGTTTTTTACAGCAGTATGATCTAGCAGTTGTGAAAGTGAATTCTGAGAGGGCATCGCTTGTGGCTCAGTGGGTGAGGCACTGGCCCCATATACTGAGGGTGGTGAGTTTGAACCCAGCCCCGGCCAAACTGCAACAAAAAAATAGCCAGGCATTGTGACAGGCGCCTGTAGTCCCAGCTACTCAGCAGACTGAGGCAAGAAAATTGCCTAAGCACAGGAGTTGGAGGTTGCTGTGAGCTGTGACACTGTGACGGCATAGCACTCTACCAAAGGCATAAAAAAAAAAAAAAAGTGAATTCTGAATTCGTTACTTTCTGTGAATTTTGTGATTTTGCAAATGATTAAACATTGAGGATGATGAGAACTAGCTTTTTCAATGTGGAGAAGGGAGTTATACATACAATACAAATACAAGAAAGATTAGAATGAACCTGGAAATACGTATGGTTTATATACAGCATGTCTATAAAGTTCATGTGCAACTTAAAATAGTTGACTATCCATTAAGAGTGTGTGTGTGCATATAAAAGGTATGCGTGTATGTGTATTTGTGGGGTATACATACACCCTTATGTATTTCCTAGCTCTGTCCATTGAGAAGGTATAAGTAATGATACCCCATTAAACATTCTCTACTAAAGGAAACCAGAGCTGCTTGAAGAAATGACTGCTTGCAGGGCTGGAGCAGAGAAAGTATGAGAGGATAGTGGATTGTATTATTTTCCCATAGAGTAAGGTGGTGCTCAAGTTAGAAAGTCAGAAGAACCAGCTTAAAGGGGCCCTATCGGCCAAATCTGGGCTAATTTGACATCAGAATTTTACCAGTAGATTTTTACTCAATGAATAAAACAAATAAATGGAGAAGTTCTCATTTTGACATTAGAATACCAACTAATAAATGAGAAAAAATGATGGGGTTTTAAAATTTACTAGTTCTTTTGTTCTTCATAGCATTACTTGATTCAGACAGGAATTACCAGTTGACCAAAGTTAATATCACAAATACTGGGGCAAAATATCGTGTGCTACCTAATGCAGTGCTCTGAGAAGGCCACAACATTCCTTCTGTGGCACATTCTTTCCTAAGAATGTATAACTTCAATGTAATTATCAAAAAACTTCAGATAAACACAAATTGAAGGGTATCCTACAAAGCAACTGGCCTGTATTCTTCAAAAATGTCAAGGTCATGGAAGAAGGCTGAGGAACTGTTCAGATCAAAAGAGACATGACAACTGAAGCAGTCTGGCATCTCAGATTGAATTCTGGGTCAGGAAAAAAAATAAACTCTAGTAAAAATTTTTAGAGCAATTAGTGAAACTTAAATATGGACTGTAGATTAGATAATATTATGTGAATATTAATTGTGACAATTCTGTGATTGTATGAGAGAATGTCCATGTATCAGGAATAAAGTCAAATTTTTAGAGATAAAGGGTCATGATGTCAGCAATTTAACCTTAAAATGACTCAGAAAAAATACATTATGTTTACTAATATGTCCTCTTGAGAGTGAAAAGAAAGGGTAAAGCAAATAGAGAAATTGTGAAAAGGCAAGTAAGAATCAGAATAAAAGGGATGTGGAATTCTTTGTAATGTTCTTGCAACTTTTGTGTAAGTTTGAAATGGTATCAGAATAAAAAGTTACAAAAAATATTTAACTATAAAATGCACATTTTAATCATTTTTTCATAAATAACATGAAAATACGTTAATGCTCAGATTTCTTTATTATCTGTTGCAGTATTTATTGCTGTTTTATTTCCCTGTTGTTAAAATTTTATTCTAAGTATATTAAATGGGTCTTCTTCCTATTTTAGTGACAGTATAAACAGTCAAAAGTTTTGAGTTTGAACATCTTGGGATCAAGAATCCAGTTTTGTTTTTGTCCCTTTGTTGTTAAATAATATAGCTCCTGATGCATTGTTGGTTCTCACGAATTTTTTTGCTTGTACTTTCTTGCCCACTTACAGAGAAAACCTCTTGTGTTGGAAGGGATTGATTTGGGGGCCTGTACAAGCAAGTGGACGGTGGATTACCTAAGCCAAGCTGGAGGGAAGAAAGAAGTAAAGATTCATGTTGCTGCAGTTGCACAGATGGACTTCATTAGTAAGAACTTTATATATAGGTATTTTCTTCTGAGGTTTATTCTGGGGATACAAATAACTTCTTAAAAACTTTTAAAATATTTTTGCAGTATTACACAAAGACCATATGGCATTTCATCTTTTGGCTGGTTTGATGTAATCACAGAACAGCTTACTGATTTTTAAAGAGTGGTTTTTGAAAGAAAAAAATTCTGAGTTTACTTAATTATACAAAGACATTTACAAAGGCACTTTAGGGTGTACCTCCACACCTTCTAGAATCATGGAAGGACGAGAAAATTTCTCTAACTAAAGTTAGATTACATGGGTTGGGTGTGCTGTAGACACTCAGTGTTTCATTAATGGATTGATCCTACCACGTGAGTAACTGTTATCTAGAGCAGGAAATTCTAAAAAGCTTGTTTTCTTCTTTTGTCCTATCCAGAAATATAGGACAAGCTATGTTTGGTAAAATCCTTCACCAGCTTGAATTAAATATAGAAATACTTAATTTTCTCTTTTGATAAAACTGTCTTTAATGACTTCAGTTTCTCTCATGTTCTCCAAAATGTGCTATGGAATCTTTTACAAGTAAATAAGAGATGGTCAAAAGCTGTTGA